TTGCCTGTTATTTTCTGCTTGTGTTGTGTATTTTAGTCTGTGTCTGAGTTAGTTTCCCCAGATCGGTCATTAATGTTTGTCACTGTCTGCCTTGCTCGTGCCAATGCTAACGCTAACTATCACAACCTTAACCCCTAACCATAACCATAAGTAACCAAGCAAAATATGAGTTTTTGCATTATTAGTTTTTTCATTGCAGTCACAGATTTTTTATTAGATTGCGTTTTCCCATAAGGGACAAAAAATGGTAGCCTATTCATCATGTTGTGGGGATATTGTATCCCCATAAGGTAAGGTATACCCGCTCACACACACACACACACACACACACACAGATACACTATCATACGCTGTCAGTAATATAGAGAAAAATTAAAGAACTCCTTGAATGAGATATTAAGCACCTAATATTATAACATAAAAAGCTTTTGATTTGTGATAACATTGCTACATTAAATAAAGATTACGTAGTTGAAAAAAGTCAAGTTGAGGTTATCATAAACTTTAAATTAAAAGCCTCAAATCTTTGCTGTCAAAGCCAACTATTTAGCTATTAAAAAAAAAAAAACAATTTTCCCTGGGCAGAAGCTGCTTTTTTGCTTCCAGATCCTGTAGATTCTTCCACTGGCTTTCGAGCCGGCAGATTCCTGATAGGGCCTCGACTAAAACTCTCCTGTCAGTCAGAGCCGGCAGATTCCTGATAGGGCCTCGACTAAAACTCTCCTGTCAGTCAGAGCTCCGACGTTCTATTAAATTTAACGCCATCCCTTGGAGCCGCTGTTATTGACAAGCTCGTGCAGCAAGGCCATCTGTCACCATTGTCGAGCTTTCGGTCTGAATACTGAACAGTATTTTTTCATGGCGCCCTCTAATTACCTACCACCGAGAGGACGCTGCCTCCTGGTGGTGCCCAAGGAGCTGACGGTAAACCCGCTCGTGGTGCACATGGCACACCAATTAAGCAGGATCGATGGGCTTGTCTTCACTTTGTTTTTGTCCTGATTAACATCAGCCGGTGAGGGTCTGCCGGTGCGTTTGAGCTCTTCATCCCGTCTGCCTGAGGCTTTACCTGTGAGGGATCTGTTATCCCTCTGGACAGTAGGAAGGATGTGGGGGGCAGGATTAAGGGTGGATGTTTGTAATCCTGCTAAAGTGTGCAGAATAAAAGAGCTCCACTCCCTTTGTTTCCTGTAGTATCGACTTCCTTTTCCTTGCTGTCAAATCTGTCTTTTACTTTCAGTGATCGATCCAATTCATCCGTCTATCTTCTAGTCGCTATTTCTGCAATTCAGAATTCATCTTGTATTATCTGCAGTTTTACTATTTTCTGTATGCTTATCTATATTGGTGTGAATATAAATATGAATGTTGATCCCTTTTAAGTGTAATTGAATATCCTGCCTTTATTTATATTAGCATAATTAGCTAATGGTAGCACAGAATAATTCCTGAGGGAAACGGGATTTACAACAGCGTCCCCTTGAGGTCAACTTTACAGCGAAACTAGGCTGGGATGTTTACAGAGCCCTGTCATTCCTTATTCTCTTTCCCCTTCTGACGCATAACTGAGACAGATTGCAAGGGGGAGGGATTATTACTTGGGGTGGAATGTTTGAGTCTTTTGGATCCAAGAACATTTATGCTCGCCGGTCATTTTGCCCCCTAATCAAAGACCGTTCTCTTGGAACGTGAGTGCGGCTGTTTAACTTCTCTGTAGGAGCACGCCTGTCAAACATCTCAGTCCATGAAATAAAAACAAACCAGCTGCAAACAGAAGAGAAAAGGTCCAGGTCTGACCCAGCCGGCCGGGACTCGATTAAGAATGATAACCCTTGATCAGATAGTCGATAATCATTTCCGAACCAGGATGCAAGAAAAATCTAGGGTCCTTTAACTTTGCTCCCGAGTTCTAAATCTGACATTGATTGATGACATGAAGTAAAAGAACAGAGAGGAAAAAGAAAATCATTAACATAACCAGGAATTCATTTTTATGGCTACTCAAAGACACAGTGACAAGTTTCAGTATGAAACATTCATCCTGCATTTCAGGTATGTAGTCTGGACAGAAATATTACAATACTTCTCGTAGTTACATAATAAATAAAATAGACATTTTAAATGTGAACAGGTGAAATGTGGTATTTGATTTAGTTACATCATCTCATGTTGAAACTTTCTTTACGTAGATTACATTTCTTTGCATTATTCAGGAACAGTGAATATTGCACCAATATATTCTTCTCAGGATTTGTGGCAGACCTCCCTACCGGCACTGCTGCCTTGGAAATCCGAAGGTCTCGGTTTTCTCATGCGCTCGGACCCTGTGGACTTCCAGAGCCATTTCTTGGGCAGGGGGCCAAATCTGGTTATGAGGGGTGGAGCTTTGGAGACATTCCACCAGCACTGAAAATAGCATAATGACATATTGCCCCTTTTACCCCAGGGCATCAGCTTCCCAGCTACCCCGCATGGACTGATTAGTGCAACTGCCTTGGTTTAACAGGTACAACAAAGGCAATGAGCTGATCTCTCAGACCCCCCCACGCATCCACGCTCCCACACACAGTCTGCTGGAACAGTCCACTACGAATTTTGACTATGACATGCACTGGGAGCTGCTCTTGATTTATTTGCTGTGATGACTGTTAATATATTCCAGGCAAAACAAACATCCTCAGCTGGGTTTAAATGCAACATGAATGATGTATGATACAACCTACTTGTAGCATACTGCTATGCTGCATCAGATACCATGGCAGTGTGCACAAGTCATTGCATGAGGATGCTTTACCCGATCATATTGTTTTACAAGCGAAATCTAATCCTGGGGTTTCTTTGAAGACAAGAAAGCTATGGTCTCAGTTCTGAGTCAATTCATGGTTCCCATTGTGGAATTACTCAAGAACTGCCTCTGGATGGTGTCAATGAGATTGATAAGAGTTTGAACTTAAAAACTTTCTTTTACCTTCTTTGGAAATAGACACAATATTCTGCCAACTGACGTTTTTATTCAAAAGCTGTAACATCTGGAACGCACCAGATACCGAGTTGGCAGATGTGTCTCTTCACACTTGATGTTACGTAGCTTTTTAGTTTCTTCTCTGTAGAGAAGCTTTCCTACACTGCTGGCCAAAACTGGCTGCTTAGCTACATTTTGCTATGCATTTCGTATCTGGGCACATCCACTATCTAGTCCCATGTCCACTCAAGCACTCTATTGGATAATAACATACCCTTGTGCCTTTTTGCTAAGCCAGAGAGGAGAGCATCTATTTCCAGTTTATTAGTAGGCTATAAGCCTACAGGCAGTGCGTCCGGCTCCAGTGATAGATGTTACGTCTCTTTAAAAAAAAATGTTCACCGGGTAACGTTTAGTAAATTAGGTGACTTGCTCTACCCTGTAACTGAAAGTACGTGGAGATCTGAGTTCCTCCAGCACGGTATCATTGGATGGATTGGATCTATCTTGGACGGGTAGGGGGATTTTTGCACCAAGAGCTATTGCTTGTTGGGGCACATGTTTCAAGCTGGAACATCGTGTAGGTGCTGATTTTGTAAACGCCCTCGCTAAACATGTTTTTCCTCTGGAAAAACGTCACCCCGTTGTTTGTTTCCAGCTCCATCCATAATAATTTAACCACGCAGTCTTCGGCTTACGAGGCTTCACTGTGCCGTGAAAAAAGCTTTACTTAGTGGAAGCTACAAAGTAAATTACAGCATAAATTCCAAAATACATTCCGTACCATTACACGACGTAGCAAGAAGCCGTTTGCCCTGTTCAATAAACGAAAAACGCAAACTACATAAAATTGTGAATATCGATGCTCGATCCTTAGTAAATGAAAAATAAATTAATAAAGATTTTAAAATACGGATTTTTGATTAGTAGTGACAGCGTGAGAGATTAATAAAAGCTGTCCGTTCTCGAATTTGAAAAAACAGTGACGCCCAGCGTAAATTTGTTGTAATTCACCTTGACTGCATTGGCACTTTTACTCACGAAGCGCTTTGAGAGTCAGTAAAGACCAGCTCTATTTTCTAGCTGCAGTGTCTTTTTTATATAATTATTTTATTATATTATTATAGGCATTGCAACATTTGGCAACCGTTCTTTGAAAGGAAAACATTTTAATATTTTATGATGCCACTAGTGTTATCGGTCTGACTGGGAAAAGAAAAACGTAATCTTCAGTATTTTGACCCCATATGTCGCCAATTTCTTATACTAGGCTAATTAAAGGAAGTTGAACAAATTGCTGCCCTTTCACGACCTAAAAATTTCACCTGTATTTTATGAATTTATTGTTGCATAATAATGACCGGCAATTATAAAAGTCGGTATTCCGAATAAGCAACATAATAAATAGGCTTTAATCAATACCCAGCTGAAACTGAATCAGTAAACTTGCGTCGAGAGATTTTAAAAGTCACGGTATTAATTGAGGCATAATAATCCATAAATTAGCGTTATACATTTTATGACTGAGACACATTATGCATAATAATATAAGCGTTATACTTGCATGTATACAGGACATAGTTTTCAAATCTTTGATAACACCGCTGTAATTGTCTGGTAAGTTGCTGCCTGAACTTATTAAACACCCGATTTTAATTTAAAAAAGTTTACAAGTTGAAGAAAGTCGTACTTATTTTTTTGGGATTCTTTATTCCCCGACTAAGTGGAGTATAAAAATATATTTCCCATGTGGCGTTTCCAAACACTCCCAGTAGGTTTCGTGGCACAACTGCCAATAGTACCAAGGTATGAAGACACTTGCTGTTGACAGCCTAGGATCACGCCATGTACAGTATTGTGCTACCTATGGACGGTAAATAACGCTTTGTGTAGGCTTTTGGCAGCGGTGTGCTGAATTGCACTAGCCGCTGTTGTAAAATTAAACCACGACTGTCGATCATTCCAAAATATCAGTACGTAATATTCATAGAATTAATGTAAGCTGAACAGCCAATAAACTCTGCATACATCTATGAAATAACGTGAGACAAAATAGTTTATCGTATATTTCTGGACAAAAAAAAACCTTCATTTCTCAGTAAACTGGCTGCATCTTACAATAATACCCAAATATGCCGTCCCATTATCTTATGTACCAGTTTGTAAACATTTTCATAGTAAATTAGTTGATTTTGCGCAATTTACAATGACAACATTCTCAAAGTCAAAATTATATCCCGATTACTTAATTGCGTTTGACACTAGCATATTTAAGCACGGCGAGATGTGCATTTATTATTAGCGTTTTGATCAAGTCACAGGTATATACTGAGAAGTTAAACAGGCACAAATAATAAACGTAGAATATGCAGCTGACCACAATCCGGCATAGCGCGGCGAATTACGGAGTGAGCGCTCTTTCACGTGCGTTTCGCAGTCCTGCATACAATTTTCTTGAACGCCTTTCGGAAATCCCTATTAAAAATTGTATAAATAATGGGATTAACCGAGCTATTACAGTAACCGATCCAGAAGAAAAGATTAAAAAGAGCATCGGGGATAGTGCAACTGTCCCTGCATATAGCGTGCAAACTGTAGGTGAAGAAGAAGGGGAACCAGCAGAGTACGAAGACTCCCATCACCACCGCCAGCACGAAGGTGAAGCGCTTCTCGCGCATCTGCGCCACTTTGCTTTTGGAGATGGAATGCTGCCTGGCCTTCTGCTCCTGGAAGAGCTCCGAGGCGCGGTTAGAAGCCCACGACATGCGGCAGTTCTGCTTGGGGCAGCACTCCGATCCCTCCACTTTCCTCCGCTTGGAGAACCGAGAGTTCCTGGGTTTCTCCGAAGCGCAGCTCTCCTCCAGATCGATATCGTCCAGCTCCTCTTGCCGCTGGTTGCTCCCCGAGCTCTGGCTGCTCGGGCTCTCCATCTCAAACTTGTCATTGCGCATGAAGCAAGTTTCAGACTGTGAGGGCTGCCTTTCCAGTCCGTTTTTGGCCACAAACACCGTCGATGTGCGCTGTTTCGCCACCCTGTATATTTTACAGTACACTAGAATCATGATCACTCCCGGGGCGAAGAATGACACCACGCAGGAAGACAGTATATACCATGTCTCATTGTTCAGCAGACACTCCTGCTCGTCGTGTTTGGTCATGATGAGCGGAGGAAAAGATATAACCGCCGATATGACCCACACCACTGCGATCATGGACTTAATTCTCTTTGGGGTCCTTTTCATATTGTAGCTAACCGCTTTGGTTACGGACCAGTACCGATCCAGGCTAATCGCACAAAGGTGGACGATGGACGACGTGCAGAAGAGGACATCTAGGGCCAAGTAGAAGGCGCACCATTTGCTACCAAAATACCAGTATCCCATGACCTCGTTGGCCAGGGAGAAAGGGATGACCAGCGTGGCCACAAGGATATCTGCGGACGCCAGAGAAACCAGAAAAAGGTTCTGGGGCGCACGGAGAGCTCGACTGGTAAAGACGGCGACGACGACCAGCACGTTGCCTACGATTGTCACTAGAATAATAACGGTGACAACCAAAATGATGAAGGCGGCCGCCACCTGAGAGTGAGGTGGGGGCCGAAGGGCGCCCGAGCTGCTGGCATTTTCCGAAGAGTTGGTCACGGTGAGAATAATCTCTGTCACATCCATTGTGGACACATCATTCTGTTCATGCGTGATGTTCTTCCATGGCTTTCTTCTCCTTTTAAAAACCAGCGGAGTGTATGGGAAATGCCTTTTTCCCCCACCAGTGTGCTCCGTGATTAAAATATAATTTCGTTTGATTCTTGATGAAGTACTAAGATCGTACGTGAGATAGGAGGAGTTACATCTTAATATATATAGAAAAATAAAGAAGCATCACTACCGTGGACTGGTGCGTAAAAAAAGATCGCGCGCGCATTCTGCCCCCCGGCATGTGTGCTCTGTGCTCTTAGGTTCCCCTAAAGACTCCCCATTACGCACGGCGTACAGCGTCTCTAATTTTAAAAGTACAATTGTTCTCTACTGTTTGATGTTATTCCCTATTCCTGGAGCCGGATGGCAATTTCTCTTTATCTCGGTCCCTTCCTTTCCTTCATCTCCCCCGATCCGGCTTGTTTTGTTTTGTTCTTCTTTTTATTTCATTGTTGTGTCACACATATGTCCTGTTGTTGCACATGGTGTAGGTCCTACTTACACTTTTCGTACTGTGTCAGTCCGTGGGAGTGGAGTGAGTGACATCATTCTTGAGTCCAGCCTATTGCTTAACTGAGATTCCGAGAGAGAGAAAAAAAGAAGGATTGGGGGGCTGGTGAGAGAGAGAGAGAGAGAGAGAGAGAGAGAGAGAGAGAGAGAGAGCTGTGAATTCAAAGTAAGCCTACAACTTTCTGCTTAAGGCTTCAGCTTCTCTCACTGTTTCCTGGTTCTCCGCTTTCAAATTCCTGGCTTCATATAATTGAAGCTTTATAACCATTTTCTGCAAGAGTGAGACTGAAAAGTTGAGTCTTTGGGGGAGTATTAAGGAAGGGGAGTATTAAATGACACATTGAATTAGTCAAAAAGAAGTGAAATTAAGAACTGCAAGTACATTACAAAGGACTATTGCCCAGAGCAGGATGTTTCCGTGTCTATAGCGCTCGAGGGGGTAGGCCTAGCATGTATGGATAAGTGTTTATTGAAAATAGATAGATGGATGGAGGATAGGAATGGTGGATAGATTAATGCCAAGTGCTGTAATTACTTTTAAAGTTACGGCTGAAACCTGGTTTATAAAATGCCCTGTGCCTTTTTTTCTCACAACTGGCACGGCTGGGGCAATTAATTCTAATTAATCGTTAATTAATTGTTATCAGCAAATGGAACGATTGACTATAAATTAGCATCCTGTTAATTGCTGTCTGGCGCCTTCATTGTTCTTCACCCGGTCCGAACTTCTCTGACCCCCGATGCTCCGACGTACTCAGCGCCTCCCTGCGCCTCCCTGCGCCTCTCACATGCCAGAAAGTCTCCTTTGTGTTCTACATGTTCCACATTTTTGCTCCCTCCTAGCTCCCAGCCAATCAGGAGCACCAAATACCTGGTACAGGTGCGCTGGGAGCTGAGAGGAAGCAAAAACGTGGACTGTCCGGTGTTCCCCCGAGGACTGGGTTGGAAAACACTGCCTTAGGGTATCACACATGGAAATGTGCAAATAAAAATTACAACACTTTCTTAGGAACATGCCTTCATTTTATGCACTGCATAATTTTGTTTGCCATTTAGATTGTCCCCCTTTCCTCTGAAATCGAGTACTTAGAGCTAGTTCCTGAAGCTCTGTCTCTCTCACAAGCTGGGTCTGAGTGGCATTCTAGTAATTTGGTCAAGGTCTGCGGTGTTTGCACTGGATGGGAATGTCCGGCACATCTAATGCTGTATTTGTTTACTGGGCAGCATAAAATCACAATCCTCCAGCAAGTGAAAAAAGATTAATGAATAATAATGAATTCTGCATAAATTCATATATACCAAGAAGGAGACCTGAGTCACTGCAGGATGCAGCAGGTTATGTGTGTAGTAGAGCAGGCATGCAAAGGGGTATGTCCACTAGCCATATGCTGTTAATAAATATTATTTCAGAAAGAAACCTGCAGATATTTTCCAGACATATAGGTCAGGCACGCCCCCTAACTTTTCAACACGCCCACTAACCCCGTGACACGCCCACTAACCCCGTGACACGCCCACTAACCCCGTGACACGCCCACTAACCTTTCCATGCACCCACTACTCCAGCTTGCAGAGACCTATACTAGTCAAGAAGGTATACAGTGCTCTGCATCTACAGGCAATCATGGAATAATCAGTGAATCAGCAAATCAATTAGCTAATTAAAATATAATGAGGCACACTAGGGTTTACATGATGATTAAGTTTCTCTCAGAAGAAACTGTCACGAGGAGTTTCCGTCATTATGCAATCCATTGTATTTTTAGTGGACTTATAGTGGATTATTCGACAAATAGAAATTCCTGATTCAAGGACGGCCTGTTACTGCCTGGCCTGCTTGGAATTCAAACGCGCACCCCTCTCAAAGATCAGATTAGTCTCCACAGAATTGCTTGATGGCAATAATTAAATCCATTTTAATAAATGTTTCAGATGATTTTTTGAACTTGAACCTTTTTACTCACAAGAGGTGATTTCAAGCTCCCCCAGGCTTTAAGCAGTACATTTAATCAGTGATGAACCTCTAATTTTAATTCAGTTTTATTGAAGGAAGGAAGAATCAAGTGCTGATTCAGGTCAACGCAGGTTGTGAGCATTTCATTAATAAATTTATTACATAAATGCAATTAATCCCGCGCGTACAGGCGGAAATCCCTGCACTGGATGAGCCAGCGTCAGGTTCACCAGTGAGCAAAAGGTTCAGCAGGTTCATCCAAGTTTAATCCAAAAATGCTTGCCCATAATAAAATGATTTTTAAAGAAGAAAGCACAAAACAAAAATGACATGCATTACCTGCGCACAGAAATCCCTGACATGCAGCAAAATGAGGCATAATCTTACTCAGGATGACTTTGAGTCAGAAACAAGTGGCGATCAAAGTAGGACACAAATCTTAAGGCTTGTTTTGCTATGGTTCCTGCCATATCTGGGGTGAAGGTTCAGCCATGTCTTCTACTTTTTTCTATTTACTCCATAAATATGTACCTCTGTAGCTTCTAGTTATATGCTTTGATGTGTTGTGAGGGCTTTTGTTTTGCTTTGTACTAATTTCATTAGATATTACTGACTGGATGGCATGATTATGAATTCCTATGTACTGACGTACAAAAAGCAAATAATCTTGTCGTAAGGGAGGTCAGCTATATATTATGTAAAAGTATGTGCAGTAAGGTGTCCTGCCTGAGGACACAGATGTCTGTTTGTATGGGACGCACCGAAAGGGCATGTGGTCTGAACTGAGCTGCTTAGCTGTGAAATTCGCCCGCTGGCTCGATCAGAATCGCCGTCTCCTTAAAATAGCTGAGTCTCAGAGCTAACTAGGGGCATCAGTGTTCTTAACGTTCCTGCTGACGATCCTGGTGGATCGAGGCTCCTATGTGTTGAGTTAGTTTTATCCCCCCCCCCCCCCCCCAATTCCATGCCAACAGGTGCCCCTGAAGGAATGCATAAGTGCGTAACAAAGGAAGACCAAAGTGGTGGCGGACAGCCTTGGGGTAGTCTTCCAAGTGGATCCCAGTGTTGCTGAAGGCGGCCACGTTGGGATGGAGCTGCTGAGGAAACCGGAAACCGACGTCACCGCTGCCGGGTCGTCCTTGAAAAGCAAGCGAGCCCCCGAGTGATGCAAGACCAGCAGGACAGATGCGTCGCCAACATAGATCATCTTAAAAAAAATGATAATATAAAAAGCCATCAGCTCGGCCCGCTGTCGGAATCCGAAATGCATATTACGCAGAGGGATTGGCCAGGAAGGCACTTGGTGTTGACTAAATGCAGTATTGTGCACTCTCAGCCACCATCTACGTTTATTTATTATTAACTAGAGTAAGCAGTTTTTTTTTGTATAATCCTTTACTGGCTGTTACATAACGTGACGTGGCGAGGCTCAGCATTAAGCTGAAAGTTTCCTCAAAGCCGAGATCCGCTCCGCTCCTCCCATTTAAGGAGGCCGTGATGCTAAATTAATATATGCGTTTTTTCATTTGCAGGTAAACGTGAGACCTCGAGGCCGTGCGAGCGGTGTGATACATCAGCGCTAATCCTGCAGAGGAGATGTATGGGCACAGGCTTGTGTCTGCGTGTGTGTTTTTAAAATTTTCCAGTGGGTGATTTGTCTGGCAGATCCAGCCTTGGGACTCAGTGGTGAGTTGTGACGGGAGGAGAATGACACACTCTGTCAAGCTGATCTGAGGGTGCATCGAGAAGGGCTGATTTGGAGGAATAAGCAAACCATTTCGGGAGAGACGCTCGCTCTGGTCTAATGGCTTGTTCCTTAAAGCTGGTGCCTCCCCACACGGCTCTCTATCACTCTGTTCGATCTTACTGTCCCTCTCCCTCCATCCTGTGTCTGACATTTCCCCCTTCCTTGGTTTTCTGGGTGGGGAACATCGCTCTTAGATGTCATCAAAATGCAAAAATATTCAGACCATCACACGGTGCTTTCCAGAGCCTCAAATCTCCAGAGACCCCCCTTTTCACACGTGATGATACAAATAAAAAGTTCTTAATGGAAATAGGGTCCCGTTCTTCAGCTGCAGACGTGACCCTGGGGACCCTGAACGAGATCCTGGCACATTCCTGTATCTCTGCTTTTATTCTCAGAAGCAGATTTACAGATGTATTCCCAACTGATGTTTTTGGCAATTTATTCGAAGTCCGACCTTTGTATTTACAAAGTCCGACCTTTGTATTTACCGTTCCGTTTAATCTTAATTGTTTAGCTGACAATCTTAAATGAGCTGATTTGCATTTTCCTCATTTTTGCTCTGCCTGTGACCCGATTTCTTTTATGGAGCTATTTACACGAACCCGTGACCCTGCTCAGCGTTAGGGGTTGGAAGATGGATGGGTATTTACATTCAGTGGCTTGTTGGATGATATCGCATCGGGGCTGCATGTCCGTGTCTTTAGTCTCTCTGTCCTGACTGCCCTTTCACAGCAAATGCAAATATAGATGTGGATCTGAATAGATGTGCTGGCGACCTGTACCGAGCAACGTGACATCATCATGGATGTGCAGGTAAAGTGTCATCATGTGATTATATCAAAGTGATTAAGGGGACGGCCTCGTCTCTCTCCTGACACATGTGGGGGGGAAAGGGTGGGGGTTGGCAGGACGGCAAAATGCCCACGTCTGAAGCTCAAACCTCCAACCGCCAGAAATAGTGCTGAGAGTCTGTCGGCACCTTGGTGCGGAATTCCTCCATCAGGGGGCCCAC